AGAAGACGGTGATTGAGAGGGCTGCTCGCTAGATTCGTTGCCGTCTTGAGGAGATGATGAGGAGGTTGAGAAAAGATGAATGAGAGATGGATTAGAATGTAACCTTTGTTTAGGTCTGGCGAGATGAAGCGCCATGGAAACTGAGATCTTGGCGGCTCCGGAAGCTTTTAGGGTTTTTGGTGGGTAGATGCTGATGATGGAGCCACCGTTCAAATGAATTGAAATGGTCTCAGTCCGGTTCACTGAGAACCGGAATTGATCATCTAGTGATTAAGTTAACCGGATTAGAAAGAAGGGACGGCTCACGGTTTAGGTGCTTTCGGTAAAAGTGAGTCAAATTAAACCATCATCATCATCATCACTACTGACTTGAGATGAGTAAATCTTACGTTAGTGAGCTCAGAAGGTTTGATTCGCTAGGCTTTTGTTCTTATGAGGCACTTTAAATTTTTTGTAGCTAAGAGTGTATGACTGAGTATAAGAAAGAGAAATTCAACCCGGATCCTGATTGCTAAAGTAGCGTAGATGGAATACAAGAACACTCATAGGGACTTCGTCCTCCCTTACAAAACTTGGGGAAGCCATAATAAGCTTGTGTAGGGTTCTTGGAGTCCAATATGACGAACTACTACGGCAGATGATAAGATAGTTTAGGATTGAAAATTGAAATAATAATAATAATAATATGTTACCGTGTTGACGAAAAGAAAAACACTCATAGGGACTTCGTCCTCCCATACAAAACTTGGGGAAGCCATAATAAGCTTGTGTAGAGACGTATGTGTTCGTCTGATACGATTATCAAATCAACGCTTAACATAAGAATGTGTATTGCACGAACACATTCATGTTACGACACGTGTTGTTTACACATTGGTGTTCTAATTCTAACAAAACCCTATTTTGTATGCTTCTATTTTGTATGCTTCTATTTTGTTCTAACAAAACACACATTTATGCTTCTATTTTGGTTTCAACTTAGACCATACCATCCCATTTTACCTTTACCATGCAATTTAAATCCCATTAATCTAAAGCAATTTGATGTTCTACTAAATGTTTGGTTGTTTTCTTTTTCTCTTTAACTGTGAAAGAAGTTTCGTTATAAATCTAGTATGAGTCATTTATTACCAGACTCGAAGACCACAAGTAAGGAGTTGACGTGATCAAGAAATCATATGATCACGAATGCGACGGTCACAACTAGTAAACTCAAAAAGATATTCTGTCGTATTTGTGTTCAATCACAAATTAACATGAAAATACTAATATGTATTGTCTATAATGTAACATAGACCGTGTGTATATAATGTAATGTAGTTGATTATTCTAGCATGACATTTTATTTTTCCAACTCATATGTTACACATAGCATCTAATTTGTGGCATTTCCAAATTTTGATTTTTGAATATGGGGGTCGCGCGTGTAATATATATACAGACGGTACCTTACTTCGCCTACTACTATTCCAACACACGAT